GGCAAGACAAACGTGCCTTCCAAGAAGCCTCGCTGTGGGAGGTGTGGTTCTGTCTGTGCTGCCCAGGCCGTCGGACGGCAGAAGTCACCTTAGTGGGTTGTGCTTTCTGTGCTCCTGTGGCCTGGGGCCCCCAAGCCACTCACCCCACTAAGGAATTTCTCCGAATTAAGCCGCCGGTTCTCCTTGGGAATGAATAGGACAGACTGTAGACCTCACACTGCCTGCCTCTAGAGGGGTGGGGACGTTTGGCTCCTTCTAGAATTCTGGGAAATGTAATGTCCTGGACCTTCAAGTGTGCAGACAGCACGTAGGACTGACTGTGAGCCGACAAGCCCTTAGGGCTCCATGTGTAGACGTTTGTGCCCAGAGCCCCCGTCCTCTGTGAGGCCGCCTGGACCCACAGCTTCTCTGGCTCCCAGGAAGGGGCTCACTGTTGCACTGTCCCCAAGGCTCAGGTGGCCCCGGGCCTGCCCCTCTGCCCCGCAGCCTCCCTTAGTTGGGTGGGCGGGGGGCGGACTCTGGCTGCATGTGTCGGCTCCAGGGACTGCCTGTGACCTGTCCTTCTGTGTCCAGCTTAGTCTGTTCACTGAGCACAACGTCCTCGGGGTTCGCCCATGTGGTAGCAGGTGTCAGGATCTCCTTCTGGAGGCTGAGTGGTGTCCATTCCCCCGAAGGCAGACATGGGCTTGCATCCGCCTTTTGGCGGTTGTGAGTACCCCTGCTATGGACACGGCGTGCAGGCTCCTGCTTTCCACCAGCAGAGTCTCACTGCTGCACGCTGGGGCCTCGCTGGGGGAGCCGCTCCCAGGGCTCCTGGCGTCTTGCTGCAGAGGCTCCCTGGAACCTTCTGCTTCCCCCCCTGGCGGAGAGGGGGCCAGGGACGCAGTGCCTGGGTTTCTGCTCTCGTCCGTGTGGCAGATTACTACAGTCCCGCCATGCTGGGCCTGAAGACAGACCAGGAGGTCCTGGGGGAACTGGTGAGGACCAAGCTGCCGGCGGTGGCGGCCCTGATGGATGGGCATGGCGTCCTGTGGACCCTGGTTGTGTCGCGCTGGTTCATCTGCCTGTTTGTGGACATCCTGCCCGTGGAGGTGAGCGCGGCGTGAGCCTCGCTGGGACCAGGGCCGTGCGGGCCGCCCCCCCCCCCCCGCCCCCATGATGCACCATTTTTCTCCGCAGACGGTGCTCCGAATCTGGGACTGTTTGTTCAACGAAGGATCCAAGATTATCTTCCGGGTGGCCCTGACCCTAATTAAGCAGCACCAGGCCTTTATTTTGGAAGCGACCAGTGTGGCAGACATCTGTGAGAGGTTCAAGGAGATCACCAGGGGGAGCTTTGTGACCGAGTGCCACACCTTCATGCAGGTGAGTGTCTGGGGTGGGCTCTGCTCTGCGGCCCCGTTAGCCTGGGGGAGAACTGGTCTGCATGTCCCTGTCCCTTTTGGGCCTCGGCCTCGGTGGCTCCCTCAGCCCTCCCAGACCCACCTCCTCCCGGAGCTCCACAACAACAGCTGCCCCTCCTATTGGGCCGCAAGCCCCATGACGGGCTTCAGGGCGGCCGGGACCCCCATGGGACCAGTCCAGGTTCACTGGGTCGGAGCACAAACCCGTCGATCCGCCATCCTGTTGGAGCCCTTCCCCTGCTGCTGGCATCTCTGGTTCCAGATGGCTCTCCTTGGCCCCGGTAGGGTTGCACAGGTCTGTTGTCTGTCCTACCCTGAAGGGCAACTTCCTTAACTGGGTCCTGGACCCAGGACCAGCGTGTAGACCACTCAGATCTGCTGAGTGAATGAAGCAGGAGCCGAAAGGCCTGACAGGCCTTCTGAGGAGGCCGCGGAGGCTGGGAGAGGCAAATTTTAGGTTTTCCCCTTTCCACCTGAAAGAATCACCAGCGCGGGGGAGGTGACGGAGGGCGCCAGGAAGGCCAGTGGCCAGGGGGTTCTGCCCGCCTCCCAGGAGGTAGCAAGCCCCCAGCTCTGCTTGGGGCATGGGCAGCTGTCGGGCGACAATGGACCGGCGGCCTTCTGCAGGCAGGACTGCCCTAGAATTGAGGACGTTGCCGGTGCGCGACTGGAGCGTCCTCCAGCCGCGTGGAGTGAGGTAGCCTTAGAGAGCAGGCTGGACAGAGCCAGAGAGAAGCTGGGGCCTGTGGCCCGGGGCTCAGGAGAGGGTGGCCTGCTCTCTGGCTGCAGTGCTGGGGACCCCAGTCGCCAGGGCTACAAGCGTTTTCTGAATGGTGGGGCCCGGATGGGGAACGTGGGACCGAAGCCTACAGCCGACTCATTGGAAGGAGCCCGTCACGCGGGACCAACCGCCTCGCCCAGAAGGGCTTCTCTGTCCCCGCTAGCCCTTTCGTGCCAGTGTTAGGGGCAGAGTCAAGCAGCAGAGGGCAGGGGTGTGAGTCTGGGAACGAGTCTGTGATGTGTCCAAGAGCGGACAGGACTCTAGCCCACCCTGTCCGTACCCCCACTGCAAGCCCCTCGTGTGTCGGAGGGCTGCACTGGAGGTGGCTCGGGTTTCCGTTGAATGAGCTAGGTTCCCCTTTAACACATATGACAGCTTGGGGGTCTCTGGTACGTTCCTAGGTTGTGCGGCCGTCACCCACGCCCCGACCCCACCCAGCAGTCCCCAGTCTGTCAGTCTGTGGGTTCGCCTGTGTGTGTGACGCTGGCCGAGGACCTGTGCGCGCACACACGGCAAGTGCTCCAGAGGCGCTAGCGTGTAGAGAGTGCCGCAGGTATTCCCAGAGCTGCCGGGGGGAAGTGCGGATGAGCACGAGGCTGCCAGGCCGGCTCCGCCAGTCTGCCCACAGGGACACGAAGCGGCTGTGCGTGGTCCCGCACGCGGACGCACCCCTTGGAGGGAAGTTGTTGGGGAAGTGGCCCTGGGACAGTGTTTCTGCATTAAAGCACGCCGGCACAGTAACCGCAGCTTGTGAGTCAGGGCTCTCTGCGGTCCCGCGCAAGAACATCTAGAACGTTCTGGAGAATTAAAAGCAGTGACCTCCCACGAGCTCAGTGCAACCGTCGCAGGAAGAACGCAGCTCCACGCCCACATCCCGGTACCCGGCAGAGGACGCGCCTGCTCCCATTTTTCAGGAACATGGCCCGTTAGAACATAAACTCCACCCTGACCTCAGCGCCAGCTTAATAGGCACGCATTTGTGGAGCAATTTCAAAAAACCCTTCTAATGCTAGACTTACGTTTGGCCTAGTTTGTTAACCATGAATTTCTCAGCCATAACTGCTGGAATTACCCAAATCGTTAGGCATAGAAGATGTGATGGCGTGGCCCTCCGCTCCCCAAGGGCTCAGTCAGGCTGGTTTCAGAGCTGCCGCAGGCCCTCGGGGTTCAAGGGTCGGCACTAGCGCCCCTCCCCTGCCACTGGCAAGTCCTTACCTGGCGCTGAGCTGGTTTCTTACGTGGACTTTCTCTTCCAGAAAATATTCACCGAGCCTGGGAGCTTGTCCATGGCCACCATCATCAGGCTGCGCGAGAGCTGCAGGGCCAGGCTGCAGGCGCAAGGCTGACCAGGGCTGCTGCCCGCTGGGGCCGCAAGGCTTCATTTCCAGGGCTGACCAGTTTTTACTGCTTCCCTTCTTGGTGCTGTGAATACTCGATGTCTCTACACTCGTGAATTTTTTAAAAGAATGATTTAGAATTCTGTCATTCTGTAAATCAGTATGGGCTATGAAGTCATAAATTTCTAAAAATGTGTTTTTACTTGAGATGTTCACCCATAAAATGTGAGATGTACGTATTTGTAATAAAGTATGTCAACACTATGAGTTGGTGATCGTCTACCGATTGATGAAAACCAAAACAGCGAACTGTCATTAGCGTTATTAATGCCAAATATTCTTCCGTTCTTTTCGGGGGCACAGCATTTACTGTTACATGAGGTTTGTGCACACAGCACGTGATTGCTCTTCAGACAAGTGATTTTTAAAAAAATGACTTTTGAAGTTACCGTATCATGTGAATAAAGCAGAGGGAAGTGGGTGAGCCTTAGGGAACGGCAAGCGTCTGCCTTGGGTCCGTGAGTGCAGCCGCAGTCACCCCGGATCCCTGGAGGAAGACCCAGCGAGACACCGGTCTCCCTGACCCCGACCTGGTCTCCTGGCCCTGATGGTGCCGCTGCGGCTGCAGACAAAGGCCCTCATGGAGGAGGCGTTACCTGTCAGCACCCCCGCAGCTGCGGTTTCACCCCTAGATGGAGGCGCATTCCAAGGCACTGGGCAATGGCAGCCGTGCCGATGGTAAGGGCCCGGCTGTCCTCACTTCCAGCCCAGCCACAGCAGAGGCACTGCCCTTACCCTGCGTCACAGGTGACGCTGCACTGGGACCACACGGCATGCATAGACGCTCTCGTGGGGAGGGAGTGGTGGCCGGGGCAGGCCGCCAAAGCCTAGGGAGCCCCAGAGGCCGCACTTCACAGTGCAGTGCAGCGCGGGCTCACCAGTGTGGGGTCGGCACAGTTGCCAGGGGAGGCCTGACACACACCAGCCGTGTGGCCCCAGGGCCTGCCGGTACGCAGGTGCCGCTTGGGGACGCTCCAGTCCCGGGGCTGCCTGGCAGGCAGGTTGGTTTCAGCCTCAGCCAGCAAGGTCCATAAATCCTCAGAAGGCACAGGTCTTTGCTTAAAAAGGAAAGATTAAAATGAATCTCAGGCTTCAGCTCCTGCTCTGAAAGCTCTTGAGCACAGCAACGGGGCCTCCTGCTGTCCCCGTCCTGGAGGAGATGAAGGCAGCCCGTCTTCGAAATAGTGTGGCCCCGCAGGAGTCTGCAGCACCTGCTGGTGCTCGTCCTCGTCCTCGCCGTGTGGGTGGGACTCGGTGCGTCCCTGCTCAGTCACAACTCCTGTTTGTCCTGCAAGTTACCCAGTAAGACCAGCAGCAACACCAGCTCTCCCCAAAGCTGGGGGCACTGGCGGACACCTGCCCTCCGCCCGTGCACCTTGGACGAGACCTCCCATGAGCGCAGGCAGAAGGACGAGGTCCAGACAGAGAAAGAAAGAGATGCTTTATTAGCATTGTTACAGCAATGCGTGACATGAAGGGTCCTCAGTGCACAGCCTCCCGAGCGGCAAGCGGGTAGATCAGTGTGATACCCAGTATTTACACAAGTGCAGAACAGGATCACCCTGAACTTCAAACAGAAGACTGGAAATCACTTTACAAAAAGGTAAATAAAAATAACACCCATTTATCTATTTTAAAAAAAGTGCCAGCTCTTGAGTGGCAGAGCATGGAAAGACCAAAGGCCCTGACGCATAGGAGCGCCCTTGCCCAAGTACTGAGCTGTGCCGCCTGGGGGGCAGGGGGCAGGGCCTGTCCTGGCTTCTAAAGCTTAATTTAAGCGTTCCAGATCTTCATCTTTTGGAGTACTTCTGTTTTAAGATCTTCTTTCTCTACTAATTTCTTAAGCATAGCAGCCTAACACCTAGCCAGCCCTCCTCAGAGGTGCTAAGGTCAAGACCAGGGACCCTCCCTTGGCAAGGCTGAAATCTCAGTCAAGAATGAAGGGACCAAACACCGGAATCTTAAAAAGCCAAATGACAGTGGAGCCAGTGCCCCTCTTAGAAAAGCACTCTTACCCTCCCACCTTAAAGTTCTACTTTGGTAAATATTAACGTTGAACCATTAGCAAAATATTTAACCCAGTTAGCAAAATTAACACCGTCGTTTCAAAGTTACTCTTGTGCATAGTAAATGTTGCAAGATGAACTTCACATTGGATAAAGCAGATCTGCAATCAGTTTGCAAGAAAGTGTGCCTCCCTCAACACCAACCGAAGCCCGGGGAAAGGAGCAGAGAGCCCGCAGCGGCCGCTGCCCCGTGCCTCTCACAACCGCGCTAAATGGTCTGGTAGCCGGCATGGCTCCTCTTCCTGCCGACGAGGTAGGCGATGAGGACGATGAGGACCAGCCCTGCTAGGGCACCCCCCACGGCGATGGGGATCAGCATGCCGTTCTCATCCAGCTGGCACTCCTCCACTGCGGGGACAGGGGGCACGCGGCGCTCACACCAGGTGACCTCACGGGCCTCCCCTGCCTCCCCACCCGTTTCCACAGCCCGGCCGGGGGGCGCGAGTTCTCGTCGACTACCGCGGGGACACAACACGCCACACGGCTGCGTCTCCATACCCTGTTCTCACAGGGGAAGACACATGCCGGCTCCGAAAAGGACCTTTGCGCCACGGTGCCGTGTGCTTACATCTGTAGATGCTGAGCCTTTCGAAGGCAAGGGGATGCAGGAAGGGGAATTTGCTCTAAATGATTAAATTTCCAAACAGAACCACAGCCTGCAGACCCCGTGCAGGGTCTGAAACGCTGCCCTCGGTGCTACTCACCAGACCCAAACTTGTCTCCTTGCACCTGGAAAGCCTGGACCCACACTTTGAAGATGTTGATGGAGAAGGCCTCTGTGACCTGCACACGCTCCTCAGCGTTACATTTGTACGAATTCCCGATGGTAGCCTGAAGGGCCCTCAGAGAGCTGTTGGCGGCCTTAAAGGTGGGATCTGCAAAGGCAGGTGAGAGTGAGTGCTCCGGGGCACCTGGACGGGTAGGGGAGTTGTGGGGGTCTTACCTCTGGCGTCAGGAAGAGTCATATTCAACTGGATTCCTTGCAGGAAATACCGGCTAGTACTTGCATTCTTAAAGAGAAAAAGGTAATCCTTAACCACTTGCCACACACATGTTTACTGTCAAACCTGAAGGGTCATCTGGTAATAAATTTGACTCCTGCATTTCTAGCTTCAGCATGAAGCCGTGGGGTATGCGGTCTGTGTAAGGCATCCCGTAAATCCCGAGAACACAAATGCTCATTAGTTCCTTCTAGAACTTTTTTACAGAATCAGACTCTGCTAAACTAGGGATTGAAGAAGCCATATTCTAAAAAAGCAAGCTTTTCCCAAAGTTTGCTGAACTTTAGGAACGTAAACTTTATTAGGAGAAACCCAACTGTCAATCAGCTCATCTGCAGTATGTACTACAAACGCTCGCAGACGGTACTTCTATTCTTCCCATATGATTTTGCTAACTTCACAAAGGATTCATCCCAGACAGGTATAAGGAAGAGAAGAGCCAAGACCCAGAGACGCTGCCCCTCAAGGAAGGGGTGACAACAGTGTGTGAGGTGGGAGGCTGAGCTGAGCGCAGCTGGGCGTGGAAGGTGGCTGTGGGCAGGCCGCAGGCGCTCCCTCACATATGCCGCATAAAGAACCAACCGAGGCATTCCTTAATAAAAACAGGATTGGTGGGGGGCGGGGGGGTGAGGATCCAAAACACCAGCAAAAAAAGAAGGCAGAGAAAGCAGACTCCCCTTCTTCACTAAGGCAGAGCTGTGGGTTTTGGCATCTTCATCCGATCTTCACTCCAGCCAGCGCACAGAGCGCTCAGCCCAATGTCCGCCATGCAGTGGCTCTGACATCAAAGCCCCCAGAGTACACAGGAACGTGCAGCCTCACCATTCCAAAATGGAAGGCCAGGAGAGGGACGCTCTCGCTGCGGAGCTCCAGGGTCACCAGCTGGGGGCTGCAGCTCCCTCCGGCAGTGGTCTTATTCGGGTTGATGCTGAACACTCTCGTCACGGTCTAAGTAAAAAAAAAAGCAAACAAGTTACCATTCTATTTCATGCCCTGGGTCCTCCATGCTCTGGAAAAACAAAACTAATCTTAAAATAAGGATTTCAAGACCACCATCATTTTAACCAAAACCAGAAAGAAAACATCCGAAGTTTACTCTAGCACAGATTACTAGGTTCCAAAACCATTTTTCCTGCTCCTCCTGGTTGCTATTTTCACAAGGACACACACTTGCCCCTCCACCCCATCTCCCGACAGCCACACGCCTCACACCCATCACAAGCATGTTCCCTGCATAGCCCCAAAGACTTGGTCACCAGTAAGGAGAAATATTATTTCAAACGAAAAGCATAAAAAAACGTTGGAATGGTAGAGTTTTAAAGCAAAATTTAACGTTCTCTTTGGGGTCAATAAACTTGTCCTGTAGCGTGCCAAACAACACACGTCTTTGGCTTTGGGGAGCACCCTACAACTCCTTGATTGTTTCAGGGAAAAGCAGCCCTGGTATGTGGACAGGTGGGTATGGCGTGGCTGTGTGCCGAGAGGCTGACTACAGCACAGGCACAGGGGCCGTTCTCAGACTTCCACGCAGAGTCCTGCTGCTCATGTACCAACACTCCCCCCACAGAAAGAAGGGCTCTGGGGGCTGAGCCTACCGTGTTGTCCTTCTTCTCGTAGGTGATGTTCAGCTGCAGCCCCATGCTGGCCAGCAGGCAGGTCCCGTTGCTGCCGCTCACATTGTACTTGTACACGGGGGGGTTCTCGGGCACTGGGGATGGCGAAGGGTGGGGAGGCGGCGGCGGCGCCGTTGTCGGGAAAGGCCCGTCTTGCTCACAGCGTGTCTCTGGACCGACAAGTGGGAAGAGAGACAAAGTCCTAGTTCCTCGGAGCTACGGCACCCCCTCAGACTCTCAGCTGGCCCCAGCCGCAGAATGCCATTTCTGTCTGCTCCAGGATGGCACGTGCCTACCCCACTCTGTAAGTACAGGACTGGCGGGCGCCACTGTCCCCTAGGGCCGTCCCCACTCCTGCCACCGCACCATGGTTCTGACTGGATGCTCTTCCAGCTCAGCCTCTGGGCAGCCCTGCCCTCAGAGATCTATCCCCTCTGCATGACAAACCTTCCTTCGTACTGTGAAATAAAGAAAACCTTCACCATCACCTGCTGCTGGAACCGGCAGCCACACACCACTGCAAATAGCAACAGTTCAAAACCATGTTCTCTGTGCGGCTGCATGCTAGGCATGGTGCCGGAGAGCTCATAGGCTCTGGAGGGACAGACAGCCCTAGACACACACACCAGGACAAAGCTAATGCTGTCAGCATGGCGCCCGTGGGAGAGAAACCCAGGAGGCCCTTAGAAGGATGAGCATCAGGTGGGTGAGACCAGGTACACAAGTCAGCCAGCTGCTGTGGGTGATCTGGAGCAAGATGGGGTGAAGGCACCCACAGGCAGGGACCCTCATGCAGGGAGAAGGCCCAGTAAGTGTGAGTGAAGACTCCCAGGAAGGAGACCACAATCCAGGAGTGAGGGAAGCTGGAGCGTGTCAGGCCTTGGCAGAGAGCACATGGTGCCCCCAGAGATCTCAGGAGTTTAAATGTGATTCAGGCTCTCAGAATTTGATCCACTATGATTTACAACAAAAATTTATATTCAAAATCAAGGCCGACTGAACCAAAAGCAAAAATAAATGAACGTTCTCTATAGGTGCATCCAGGACAGACAGCTGCCTCCTGTGAAGATGATCCGACATTCCTCAGCACTTCAGGAGACTGTCAGCCCCAAACTAAGCTCTCTGTTTTACCACCCTGTTTCTGTAGGTAATCAAGGATTTGATTTCTATGATTTCCATCCAAGTCCCACCCCCACCCCGTCCCCATTTCTGCTCCGCTGAGCCGTTGGAGCGGGCCCACCACATCCAGGGCTGTAGCGCCCACTGGGAAGATGCTGAAACTTCCGAACACCTGATCACTTCTTGCTCCAAGCTCAAAGGAAGCTTTGCCCTTCCTCCTCCACATCCCATCTACCTGGGTGGGGGGTTGAGATGGGGAGCGATGGGAAAGTTCACCCTGTAGGACTGACAAAGAAGGGATTCCATACACTCTCTGGAAAGCTCATGCATGCAGCGTGCCTTCACACAATACAATCTTGTACAGTCCAATGCCTTTCTAGACAGAAAATAAAGATGGAAAGAGCATGATGGAGTGGGTGTAACCTGGGCTCGTGGTGGCAGGACAAAGGCTGCCAGAGACGTACCCCTCAGGGTGTACTGGCCACACTGCCCACCTCTCCCCTGGAGCTAAGCTGCAGGCTGAGGTCATAGCTGCACTGTTAAGAATAGCCTCATCAGTACCTTACAAACTGTTACACAACGTGACATAATTAAATGTGGAAAACAAGAACAGGAACAGGTGGCCTCCCAATCCTGGCCTAGATGGGCACACAGCACACACGGGGGGAGAGAAACCTACACGGATTTGATCAGCATTTTTACACACGATCCACTGTTTTCATAAAGCGGGCTGCAAAATATCAGCCTGGGAACACACACAATGTACCATCAAGACTGTGGAAATCTTCATGGACAAAGCGCCCTCCTCCTCCTAACTGCAAATGCGGAGTCTGCGCTCTGAGCAGCCCGTCCTGAAGCAGAAACGACAGTCCTACTTGCAGAATGCTCAGTCCAAATGAGGAAATCACAAGTAAAATGCATGGAGTGTGCTAAGTGCTACCCGCGCGTGAGAAGGCCTCTGGGAAGACCAGGGGCCCCAGGAAATGCAGGCTGTGCATCCTTCCACGATTCCTCCTCGCATGATTTTCAAAAGTTTCTGTGCCCTGGAGGCCCCGAATGATCTGGCAGCAGCTGACTTTCAGGGAAGCTTGCATGCTACAATCAGAGTCTCACACGGAGAGAGATACTTTAGCATCAGTTCCTTCACTTTGAGCCACGCTGGGAGTCACTCCTAAGAGAGATATGATGACAAACTGTGTGGGATTGGGTGGGACGTGAACTTGGGGTGAACCACAGTGAAGAGTTCCTATTTTGAACTAACGGTCGCAGAAGCACCCACAAGTGCCCACGTCAAATCTTAGACGTGCAAAGATGAATAATAGGATCCTCTGCTGGGCCTGGGGCCCGAAATGCCATTCCCACAGACACAGAGTGGGACACTCTCCCCTGCTCAGACTACTCCAGAATGAGAACCATCTGCCTTCCTTTACAGACCTCTGGGAAGGACAACACCCGCTGCTTTCCTCAGCACTCACCTTCATCAACAGGACTGACAGGACAATTCGGCAGCCTTGGCCTGTGCTCGATTCCTTTTAAACTGAAATCTGTAAGTACCTGAGGCTTTTCCGATAGGACAGTGCACGTGGAAAGGCAGAGTGAACTAAGGCTCTCTGGTCCAGGCCCCCACAACACTACAGACGAGAGAGGCCACAGAACCTGCCCCAACACTTGCAGTCCATCAAATAAAAACTTTACATGGGTTTTTATGACCAAAAATTTACTAATTCTTGGATATATCTTCATATATCGTTAAGAACCCGTAAGTACAGCAAACTACGAGAATATAAAATATACTTAACATATTTGAGATGGAATCTCTTCCCTGAAGAAGCTTACAATTTGGTGACAAAAAATCAAACCAAAAAGAACTGTGCCTAAGAGCCAAAGAAATGAAACTAGCACAAAAGGAGATAAACAAATGGCTCAATTTTAACAGAAACCAAATATTTCTAAAAGCAATTTATGCTGTCTTGCTATATGTGATCAGTTACATCAAATCTCCTGCTTGTAGGAAAAATACACGGGTCCCTCTGATTGTAAACCACGGTCAGAAACAGCAACACAGACAAAAAGTAGTGTGACAGGTGCTGGCTAACCAGGGGGCTCTCCAAAGATCAGACCCCAGGCTCACAAGGAGCTGAGGAACAGTGAAGTATGCTATCAGCTGAGCTTCAACACGGCTCAGGTCATGTCATCAACTATAGCTGACCCCTGAATGACAATGGGGTGAGGGGCTCGAACCCCCGCAAAGTCGAAAATCCACGTTAACCTCTGACTCCCCCAAAAACTTAATCATAAAAGCCTACTGTTGACCAGAAGCCTTATCAATAACACAGTCAATTAACACACATTTTGTATGTTATAAGACAATGCATACTGTATTCTTCTAACGACGGTAGAGGGAAAAAAATTGTTAAGAATACATTTACGGTACCATACTGCATTTATTGAAACATAACCACGTGTAAGTGGACCCACACAGCTCACACCTGTGCTGTTCAAGGTCTGCTGCAGTAATTTCTGGGAACAGTGCAGTCCCCGCCCATAGAACAGATGCCCACTCTGGAGCTCCTCCCCACCTACATGGCTGCTCCAGGAACTCCCCTAGTCACTAGGCCTGAACCCAGGCCACCAGAGGACCACATCCCAGAAAACAAGGAAGACATCACGGGGTGGGAGTGGGGGGGTGTGGCGGGGAAAGGGGGGGCCCTGGAGCTTGTTTGCTCATTTCATTTCTTAGCACTCCAGGGAAAGACTGATCAGGGGTGACTGTAGAGGATGTGAACTGATGGTGACAGGAGCCCAAAAGCCCTATGGGGACTCCTTCCTGTCCAGTCAAGAGTATGCAGGCATGCCATCATCTCACCAAGCCTTCCGGCCTGTCACAGGGGCATGCCAACTTGTAGAGGACATTCTGTGCATCTCTCGGATACCTCTTACACTCCTCTTCCCAACAGATTCACTAAGAGAGTGCTCTAGAGTCTTTAAAAGGCAGCAAGTTTCCCTTCCAAAACAGAGACATATCAGCAAAGGCAGATTTAACATAAAATGAAAGCAAGCTTTGAAGAACCATGGGACACAAGGGGAGGTGGGGAGTGAGGCTGAGCTTAGTGACCAAGTTTGTGATCAACTCACAGAATCCTCTGTAGGATGGGAGCAGACCTAAGAACAGGGAGCCAGCGGCTGGGACACAGGTGTAGGGAGGGACGGCCTCCCTGAAGCAGCTTTTCCATTGGGAATCACACACATACATCCTCCCCTGGGGGTAACGTGCAGGATGCCGACAGTGAGGGACTGTGTGCACGGGGGGACAGGGCTATGTGGGAACCCTGCACTCTCTGTTTAACTGTGAACCTAAAACTGTTCTGAAAGATAAAATCTATTTAAAAAACAAAATAATTAACCTTAAAAGAAATCAGCCTCTCCACACTGTCGTGTGATTTTAGACCAGAAGCTGGAGCCCTGTCCTGGGCTCTAGTGCCCTCAGGAACCCAGCGGCTGGGCACCCCAGACAGGGGAGGCCGGGTCATCTCTGTCTGTGGTCAAAAGCATTCCACGCAGAGGAAAACAACTTGTATAGGTGAGGAGCTCCACCCCACGACTGCCTGAGGCCCAGGTGGTAGTGAAGTCACTGCACCGAGCCAGCAAACCAGGATGCTCTCATGTCCCAAGGCCTCTGGCAGTTTTTACTTTTCCTCTCTGCCCCAGACTGGAGGGAGAAGACTGTTGGGGACGAAACCCAGCCATCCAAGACCTGAAACCGTGAGCATCAGCTCCTGAGGCATTTCGTGTGACTCTAACCCCTGTGTAGTCACTCCTCTGTTTGAGCAGGCAGGTGTCAGTGTGCACACCTGGGCCTGCTGACGGACACGCACACACGCAGCTCCCCGGACAAGGGGGGTGTAGAGAGGGCCCGTCCAGCCGGTCTCCTCGACAGCTGCTCCAGCTCACACAGACCTACCTTTCTGCCCTGAACACTTGCTGCTGGACGTGTCTTTCCCAGTCACAGAGAGCAAACATTTTAGACTCTGTGGCTGTCCGGTGGCTGTGCCCATCCCAACTCTGCCACGGGAGTGTGAAAGCAGCCATAGAAAACAGGTGTGTGAACGAACACGGCTGTGCTCCAAGGAAACTCTAGTTACAGGCACTGAAACTTGACTTTTGTGTCATTTTCATGTGCTGTGAAATGTTCTTCTGATATTTCTTAACCTTAAAATTGATAAGCACAACATCCATTTTTAGCTTACTGGCCGTACAGAAACCAGAGATGGGCTGGATGGCACCTGCAGGCCAGGTTCTGGCCCTGCTGAGAGCATGCATGCCTCTCAGGAGGGCTGCACCCAACTGCACAAAGTGCTAACCGGTCCATCATGCCCTTCAGCACCAGTGACTTGGTGCAAATCAGTCACACGCCAGCAGGCACCTCTATGGATCGAGCCACACCACTGGGGACACTGCAAACCGAAGGCTCACAAGGGCATGGCTAACCACCGAGAAGGAAGGACGACTTCCTCGAGGTGGTCACCCTTCCTCACCCTTAAGGAAGAGGACAGTGATCTGGGAGCTGACTGGTAGGACTGAGGAAAAGAGCTTTCTTCAGTCATAGTTGAATGACAACATGCTTTACTATTAACTGAGCCAGGCCCTGAAATACGCGCTTTGCATAAATTTCCTTTTTAACCTTAAGGACCTGCTAACACAGGTTATTATTCTTACCCCACAAGGAAATAATAACCTGCTAACACAGGTTCTTATTCTTACCTCACAACCTTACCCAAGACCACAGAGCTAGGAGGGGCCCGGAGCCTTGTGTTGTTGGAACCCAGGGCCCACCAGTGGAGCTGGGCTGGCAGGTGCCTCCTTGGTGTGTCATCCGCCCAACCCCTGCCCCAAAAGGTGCTCAAGGTCCTTCACCATCTGCCCCTTGGCCCTCCAAGCTGGACAGAGGTTAAGCCTAGGTCTTGATGAAAGGACACTTGGCTTAAACGGGAAGAGATCCTGTGCCCTGACCTCATCAGCTCCCTAACAAGGGATGCAACTGCTTTGCCCTTTTAAATCAGTATTAGTCCAGCCTCACCTAAAGAGATCACCTTCTTTAGACAAAAAAATGTTTGCTGGGCAATTCTAAGTGTGAGCTGCCAGCTCAGTCCCTGGCTGCACAAATCTTCACATACACATCTTCCTCAGGCATGGGCTCAAAGCCATGTCCACATGCACTGGAGTTGGGCCTGGGCATCCGGGCCAAAGGCAGTGTCCTACCTTCCTTGCTGAAGCTATTGTTGGCAAGGTACGCCTGGATGGTGGCATCATGGAGTGTGACAGTGACATTGTGCATGTGAATCTGGTTGTTGCTCACACATCTGTATTTTTTATTTATGTCAGCCCTGATGTCAGTTGCAGATTCCACAGTCTTGATAGCTGTAAAGAAAAAAAAAATCAATTTTTAACTACTTGGAAGTACTTGGTTAAAATTTTAGACACTCTCCAACCCAATTTTCTTAACTTTATAACTAGCCAGTTTTGGTTCTTACCCTTGGAGCTTGCATTGGGGAAAATCTGTGTGTCAGACAAGTTATAAATAAAACTCATCAGCTGAACACTGTAACGTGTTGCATTTCTTGTGAAATTGAGAATCAGTCCATGTCCTCTTCCAAAAGCAATCATGAGACTGGGGTCAGAAGCGTTCTCTTTACCACAAGAGCTGCTATTTAATACTGCTGCATCAGATGGCAGGTCGAAGGTCACATTCTACAACAAAGGACGACAGACCCAGTCAGAATGCAGGTCACGAAAGGGATTAAGATGCGCCAAAGGAAGACCTTCAGGAAGTCGGACCTCAGCTCCCTCTCAGATGCCACCGTTAGCATATTCATTTTTAACATAAATAAAAACACGAGGAAAATCAGTATTACGTGTCAGTACAGACTGAAAAACACAGTGTAAGACAAAGCTGACAATTATTTAATTGAACGTTCTTTGTTAACATAATTTTAATTTATAGCAGAATTAAAACTAAAATTATCTTGGTAAACTGAAATAATTCTTACCAGTCTTCAAGTGAGCTGTGTATTTATATTTGAAAAAGCCACTACTACTTGTTTGCTATAAAAATGTTTAAGGAACATGTCTCTTTATGGGACAGATGTTAGCTACATGTGTAGTGAGCACAGCATAATGGATAAACTTGTCAAATCACTAAGTTGTAACCTGAAACTGACGCAACATCATGTGTCAACTGTACTTAAAAAAGTCTCTTTAAAACAAAGAGAAGGGGGTGTTTGCTGCAGAACTATTTGAATTGACCACTGCAGACAAAACAAACCACTACAAAACCACCTAGAGACCCCCAAAAGGAACTGGACCAGCTAACCCAACTGTGGTGATGCTGTCCACTAATGCTGCTCCCAAGAAATGACAGAACTCCACCAGGTGACAGAGATACGGTGATAAAAGAGTAAGGCACACAGCAGCATGCAGGGGATCCCATTTGTGGAACATAATATTTTTCAAAATGACATTAAAAAAATCCAAACACAAAAAAAGTAAAGTAGCAACGACCACAAAAGGTGTTGGGACCGGTCTCTGTAACTTGAAATGCTTCTGCGGGACAGAACCTGCCCAGGCCTCTTCTGTCTCGGGTGCAAGCACGTTTACATTACCTCCCACACACGAGCTGATGAGGCCTGAGCACCTTGCACAGAGTCCCGAGTGCTCCAAAGGAGCTCCGTCCTTCCCACCAGCACTGGGTCCCACTACTGCCCCTGAGTGGTAATAAGATGATCCAATGCTATCAACATGGGGGCTGGGCAGGAAAAATGTGGTTTCAACAAAGAACTGAAAACATTTGGTTTAGAGGTACATTTAAGATCAATGTTAAATAGAAGTGAAATGAAAAAAAAAAAGAAATGTCCACCAACAGGTAATTAACAAAGAAAGAAATACAAATGCACCTTATTTGTTAGAAATCTACAAATGCAAAAAGCCTTTTTTTATCCTGCAGAAGTACAAGTTGTTTTAAGAGGACAAGTGAGGGGCATCTTAGAGTAGGACAGTGCTTGTAGATGACAAACAGCAGACACAGCTGTGCCCTGAGCCTGAAAGAGTACGTGAGACGAGACGACCGGGGTCCCAGGAGAGGCTCTAACACATCAGGCTGGTCAGCACTGTGACCACAGAGGGGAATCACGCACAAGTCTGGGACAACACTCCTACCAGACGGTGAGAGCACACAACAGGATGGTTTACAAGTCATGACTGTGGCTTCAGGGTACACAGAGCACAGGCGACGGCCCAGCGGGGCACATGCATACGCCTACTGTGTTACAGCGACGTCCTTTTCCAAACACTTATTTAAAATAATAATTAAAAAAAACCTTCACACACACCCCACACACTGCATGGAAGTCCTGGTGTTTCCTACCTTAGGCCCGCTCCTGGTGTCATAGCTGGCCGTGAAGGCAGCGGAGAAGTTGGCCATGATGCAAGCTGTCCCGTTGGCGTCCTTTACCACAAACACCGCTGCTGTGCCATGTACGAGACCTGCTAACTCCAGGAAAGACAGAAATATCCAAACACAGTTTTGAAGATACAACTGAATGCTTCTGTTGCCTCTAGCCATGGCAACAATGGGCTTTATTAGGAAACACCACTGTGCTTCTTAAAAAATGAGATACGTGGATGACCCAGGCCGGGTTCAGCTGGGTCTCTGTCCTGTCCCTCCTAGATACAAGTCTGGGAAACGTTAACTCTAAACCCATCGATCAGTTTGCCAACCTGTTCGACAGCTCTTTAATGCTTGATGTCAGGACACTGAGGGGAGGTCACCTGTCAATTTCCAGATCACCCCTGGGCACACGTTGCTCCACGCTCAGTCCTCAGAGGGCCTCTGGAAGATGTGGTAGGGTCCTGGAGGCACAATTCAACCTAAATACTGACCTTCTGCAGAAGCCCATGGGAGAACTGGGGCTATCTTTTGCCATGGTCCTAAACTACTACTTAAAGTTGGACCTCGTTACCTCTCATGGGCCGCTGGCATGGCCGGAAAAGCCATGGACTCACAGATCTGAGCTCTTTGCCCAATTTCAGAAAGCGTGTCAAAAAATAACGAATCGATTGAACCTGGACTTGGCTATGTGATGTTAGGACATCAGTCAACATGTCTAGGTAAGGCTGCCATATCCCAGAAAGGGAAAGAATGAAATTCTCACAGGTCTCTCCAGCTTGGCAGCGATGGTGGCTATTTCCTCCTTAAATTCTCAGGGTCAGTGCCATGTCTGGCTTCATGATGTGGTAGAGCAGTAGGTAATTCCTCCAAGCCACATGTGTTAGTATACTTTTCTACAGATGGGCAAAAATAGGTGTTTTCACTAGTTCTAAAGCCAAACACTGTCAACCAACATCGCGTACCATATGATTCAGAGGTGACGTGCCCTCCCTCCTTGCTGCAGCCAGTCCCTGCACGCCCTCTAGCCATCCTCCGGCCACTCCGAGTGTCAACGTGACACAGGCACATTTTGAAGGCATACGCTCAGTAGACACTCAACTAACTTTTCATTCTCAAATCCCTGTCCCTAGCAAAGTAAATGACTCCAACAAACACAATTCATTTTACCCTTGGAGCTTTCACAAGATAAAATCTTTAAAGCCAACTACTGTTCAAGCACAAAGCAAAAAGTAGCCAGGAACCCCACATCCCTTCCCATAAGCTTCTGGTCCGAGAAATACCAACACCTATGTTCACAAGAAGCTGCCGCATGAGAATGCAGCTAACTAGGGCAAAGAAGAGACCTGCGCAGTTTGTCTGGTTTGCTGTGCAAAACTGTAACCTACATCCTACAATATTCAGGCAAGACTACACTAAAGGCAACTCTGACAAATGAATTTCCATTGTAAAACCTAAAAAACATTCCACAGCTCGTTTCTGACTCAGTGAAGGCTTTAAAAAAAGACAAATCACCCTCACGCCTTCACAGAAGGGCAGGTTTAGTATACCAGTGGTCCAGAGAGACGCTAGCAGGGCAGAAGCAAGCGTGTCAAAGCATGGACACTGATCCAGATCATGTGTACATGGGCTACTGCCTGCTCCAGTCAAAGGCTCTCGGGCCTGAGGCGCCCTCACACGGCTATGGCCCTGGCCCGGCTGCTGCAGAGTCGTATGTGACTGCACATGCCATGGACACAGTAGGGCGCTGCCTCGCATGGGATCACGCACGTATCACTTTTTACCAAGCTGCACTTCCATAAACGAGTTCCCTAAATCATTAAAACACTTTCTACTGACTCAAAGCCCTTCATCAGAAAATATTTCACATTAAATAACTTCAAACAGAATTTTTTCACTTAGTAAATATGCTGAGGGTATGAACCTTCAAAGTAAAACAAAGATGTATTACAAAAACAAAGTTAAAGTAAGTTTTACCAGTACTAGAGATCCACAATTATTCTGGAGCGATCCAGAAATTTTCAATTGTTCAAACACGAAACTTAGCCCTAGAAGCCAAATTTTGGTCAAGAAAAAGAGCTCTACAAGAGCATTAGAACATAAAATTGTAAGAGAAATGTGTGTATGCTAATGGTCAGAAGTTTCTTTTTTAAAGAGTTTTTAAAAAATGTATTCATTTGAGGGGCGCCTGGGTGGCTCAGTCGTTAGGCGTCTGCCTTCAGCTCAGGTCATGATCCCAGGGTCCTGGGATCAAGCCCCGCATCGGGCTCCCTGCTCTGCGGGAAGCCTGCTTCTCCCTCTCCCCCTCCCCCTGCTTGTGTTCCCTCTCTCACTGTATCTCTCTCTGTCAAATAAATAAATAAAATCTTAAAAAAAAAAAGTTTATAAAATTTATTCATTTGAAAGAGAGTGAGAGACAGCGAGAGCGAGCACGAGCAGGGGGAGGGGGAGAGGGAGAAGCAGGCTTCCCGCTGAGCAGGGAGCCTGACACAGGGCTCAATCTCCGGGTCCTGGGATCACAACCTGAGCTGAAGGCAGACGCTTAACCAACTGAGCCACCCAGGCGCCCCTAATGGTCCAAAGTTTGTTTTTTTTTTTTTTTAATTCTGTTAACAGTGATAGCTGGGTAAGAAGAAAAAAACTCTTCTTAAATTAATTAAAATGTTGCAGTGATTTGAGGAGTGGGTGTCCCTCTTCAAAGCTAGCTTCCTGGCGGGCTGGCAATGGCTAACCTCAAGCAGTCCTTCCCACAGGCATGAACTTAATCATTTCTCCAGGGATCATACAAAGGAGTAACTTTGGCTTCAAAGTACTCCCACTGGTAGAAATTCCATTCTCTAAAACAAGTACAGCTGTGAGAAGCATGACTATGACAGACTCCTCCGTCACTTACTAGTTGTGTGACCTTGGGCCAGTAGCAATCGCTGCCTTCAGTTTACGTGCCTATGAACTGGAACAAGTGTGCTGACCCCTCGGGGTTATCAGAGTATCAAATGAGCTAGTGTACACAGAGCACTCAGTACAGGGCATTAGCGCTGGCTTTAATGCTCACTGACGTTATTTAAATAAAACTACTCAGACCTCATCTACCAAGTTCATCATCATTGAATCCTCAATACCTGACACAAAACGTCAAATAAGTACATTTTATTAAACAAGCACTTGCCATGTGCCAAGCCCTGCACCAAGCACTTTGCAGTTAGTTATCATGACAACAGGTAAATGCTATTATGATTCCCCTGTACAGCTGAGGAGACTGAAAGACAGGGACACTAACTTGCTCAAGGGCACACAGCTAGTGAGTGGTGCTGAGCCATCTGGAACTGGGTGCCACATCTGAACCGTGCTTTCTCTCCAACACTAGCCAAGTGAGCAGATAGGTTTCAAATTATGAAACACTCATTTCTGAAACGAAGACACTGCCATCCGACAGAACAAGTCAATAAATTTCTACATTAAAATTTTTATAAGAGGGGTTAAGCATCTGACTCTGGCTCAGGTCATGATTCTGGGTCCTGGATCGGGCTCCCTGCTGGGCAGGGAGTCTGCTTCTCCCTCTCCCTCCCCCCTGCTCATGCACACTCTCAAATAATTAAAATCTTAAATTTTTTTTTTAAGAAATACTTCCTAGTTTGTCTTGGCTTGGTTTTTAAATCCAGTATTTTTCTTCTTAACCAGTAATACATAATCATCTATGAAGATTTAAAGGAAGAAGAAAAAAAAGACCAAGGTTCCATCCCTCACAGGGAATCACAACCCACAGAGGCAGAGCCCGACTGGACACTTCTGAAGAGCTGACTTATGCACATCTGATTAGGGACTGCTGCTGTAAAACCGGTGCTATGTGTACACACAAAGCACTTACTATGTGTGAGGCACAAGATGGGCTGTAAAATGAGGAAGGGAGACCTGTGTGTATGTAATCACAGCACAACTAAAATGATGTTCTAGGAAAAACTCATGCTACACATGCCATGTAGCCAAGATCCGTGGATGCAAAGAGAAGGGAGCATCTAACAATAGAAATTTGAAACCGTGGACCCCGAACACTTTGACTTCAAATATAGTTAAGAATTTGGTCACCAACCCAAGTAACTGACAAAAGTCCCACAATCAAGGATAATGTTAATTAGAATAAAACTTTTCAAACTTCCCAAGTGACAGTTCTTCATTTGGAAAGGGGAAGGAAGTCATCTAGTTGACACCAGTGGTTTAAAGAGTCACATTACGAAATGTCACCTAATCCCAAGTGTTGGACACTTTCAGTTCACCCCCACCTTTGCTTTCTACCAAGTATTCAAACACAAATGAATGCAGGAAGGATTCGTAGTTTTGAAGTTCGAATTATTTTTCAGAAAAGATGCTTTCTGGTAAAATTATGCATCAAAATAAACATTTTGAAAAGACCTAAATCCAAATGAATATACCTTTTTAAAAGTTGGATTTCAACTGAATATAAAACCTAAAAAGACACAATGGAATAAGCATTAGAAAGCTTATGACATGTACAGTTCTCTCAGCTATCACAATGCAGGAAATTAAGGCTGTTTCACTTCATCTTCAAGGTGAATTTTAAAACATAAAATAGAAAATTCTAATGCTTGTGAGCTCTTCTAATAAGGAACAGTGCTGCCGTTCTGACCTGATAGAACTTGTTCCAGCAACTCCTCCTGTAGTAATTACACCTGCCAGGGAAGGGCAAAGCTCCGGGTCTCCTGCCGGAATAAGGCCATCCCCTTGTGGCTATTCATGCAGCTCAAAGAACTCATTTTACACAACAGGCAAAACAAAACCGTGAAACTAAATCCATCCAGTCACAATAACAGAATTTTAGAGTTTAGAGACAGAGACAGAGAATTCGTGGGCAGGTAGGTACCGTAATGCAATGCGTATCCGCATCCACCTCACTCATGGGAGCTCCCACGAGTTGTCTTCTGTATCCTATTTTAGACTCTGCCTTTTAGATAATCTTCCCGTGTTATCTGGGAGGGGGCTCACAAAGGGTGCCATAGGGAGAGGTTCATCAAGGACATCTAAACAGACTTAAAATCAAACCACGCAGCGATTCCCCTTTAGGAGACAGCACATATTCCTCTTTCTTACTGATACAAGAAAGAAAGAACAAAATCCCTAACACACCGAGCACCCCCGGCTGCTTCTGAGGTCTGTACTGACGGAGTCCCACGTTTTGACTCCGGAACCAGCGCCCACGGAACAGTGGCAGCGCTCTTTACGACCCCTCACTAGAAATGAACACTGCCATTGTGAGGCCAAGGCCCTGTCCTGTCACCGCTCATTTTACCACCGTGAGCTCTCCTAAACATGTAAGCGTAACTTTTAAGTTCACACACACACACGTTGGTAAGCGCTCCGAGCCCGACACACACACACACGCACGCACACACACGTTGGTAAGCGCTCCGAGCCCGACACACACACACACACACGTTGGTAAGCGCTCCGAGCCCGACCAGGAGGGGGAAGAAGCTTAAAGCACAACCGACGAATTCTAAAAGGCCCGGATCACCGCGCCGTCCTACTCTCTCCTCAGTGAGACCCGTGTCACCCGGGAGGACAGAGGACCACGCAGGTCCTGCCGCCTCGGCGGCACAGCTTCACGTAGCCCCCCGTGGATAAACCACAGCTGTCCCGAAACCAACCAGCCACTTATTTTCCAACATAACAGCCAGAGAACGAGTTTAGTGACCCCACAGAGGAACCGGCCCTTAGCTGACCTCCCGCCCCAGCTCCTCAAGCAGCGGCCAGAGGGCTCCGCGCCAGACCCCAGGCGCCGACCTCCGCCGGGGCGAGGACGACTCGCCGGCCCGCCGCCCCCCTCCCCGGGCCCCTCATGTCGTCGGCCACCCCCGGGCTCCGCGTCCCCCACCCCCCGGCCCGGCCCAGCCCAGCACACCCGGGAACTCCCGCCCCGCAGCCCCCTGCCCCGGCGTCCCCGGCCCCTCACCGAGCAGCAGCAGGAGCAGAGGCCGCCGCCGAACGCCACCGAGGGCCGCCATGGGCGCGAGGGCTGCCGAGGCCGGAGCGGGAGCCGAGAGGGTCGGGGGCGGTTGGGCCGCGGGCGGGCCCCAGAGGCGGGCGGGCGGGCCGGGGGGCGGCGTGAAGGTGAGGGTCCCGCGGTCCAGAGGCCCGGCCGCTGCGGCGCCCGCAGGAGGCAAGAGACCCTTCGGCCGGCGGCGCCCGTCACGTGAGGCCGCGCCGCGCCCGCGCTGTCACGTGACCCCACGGATCTCGCGAGATCACGAGAACAAGGCGCCTTCGCCCCGGCCGTGCCCGCCTCGCACGTGACCCGCAGGCACGTGACCGTGGCTCCACGTGACCCACGGCCCGACTCCGGAGCCGGGAAGAGGCCCGGCGGCGTGAAGCGGAAAGTGGGCGCAGCCGGCGCGTGGGGAGGGGGGCGGTTCCTCAGCGGCCCTCCCCGTGTCAGCCAGAGTCGGAGACGGGTGTGCCCCGAAGGGTGGCTCTCTGCCGAGGCCCGCGGCCCGACACGCTGCCCCCAGGGACGCAGTGAGGCCCGCGCTCACCGGCCGCGCCCGAGAGCAGTGAGGGTTTCCTCGAGGGCCTCAACACTAACCGTGTCCTCTCTTGTGGCCCTGGGCACTCTAACGGGGGTCCTCTGGGCCGCTGATTCGCAAGGGGGCTGGACGTGGGGGCGAGGAAGGCGGGGACGACTTGAACACGCGTACTGAATGTTTGAGACAAAACATCGACCCCTCAGAGGACGAAACTTAAGGCGAGACAAACTCCTGGTTGAAGGGGGTTCAGAGGTTACAGGAATTGCCAGCGGTGACACCCTCCTAAAGGAACGTATGGGGACGGGACGAGGGGCGTCATTTATCGAGAAAGTTCGGGAACACTGGTACAGCGTGCATAACCCTACATTGCCCCAGGAAAGGAAGTGGCAGTCTCCCTGCTCTAGAGCCTTCCCGAAATACCTCTCCTGCTCACTCCCTAGTACCTGAGCCCTTGATTGGCCTAGAGGCTCCCTGGGTCTTCTCTTTTCTGACTGCTGTCTGGAGCTCTGGCCACACTCCCGGTCCCTCGCCCGCCTCCGCCCGTTGCTCGTACAGCTCTGCAAACGCTGAGCTTCCCGGCTCCTCCTCCCTTCTCGTTCTGTCCTGCTGCCTCACTGAGGCCTTCACCGCTCACCCCTCTGGAAATGTTCCTTGAGCCTCTCCAGCGCAGGTTTGTGGATTACTGTCACTCTACCGAACAGTCCTTGATTCTTGGGGCTTCCCCTGCTTCGTTTTACATTTGCTTGCTTTTAGTAAGTTTTGTCTTCTTCCTCGTTGTCGTTTTTGTCCAGCTTCCCTCCCCTCCCTCCCAGCTTCTAACATATAGTCAGACTTCTTGCTGGGTCTGCATTTGAGGACAGTGGCAGGGCGTGCACGTCCCCTTGCCAGCCCCCAGGCTCCATTCTAAACCGGGTTTCCCTGGGGCGGGAGTTAGCAGTTCTTAAACTACTTTGTATGTTTACTGGTGTTGAAAAATGGGTAGATATTTTGCAGATAATTGTAATTTGCAGGTTTGTCCCTGTGAAGAAAGAAGTTACAAATAAGGAGAAGGGTGGGTGGGTGAGAATGGACCCTGTGATGCTGGAACTGGCAGGTATTTAAAGACTCAGAAGATGGACGGACAGTCATGGAAGCAAACAATAAATTTACTAGGTAAAAAGCAATAGTGTTTAGTACATGTTGGCAGTTTATACCCCCACCAGCGACCGTTAAAGGGCATGACATTTTCTTTTGCCTGGTCGTTCATCACGCAGGCTGGATCATTTGTTTGTATTTTTGTTTCGCGCAAGGTATCCGTCATTTTTCCTTTGCCCAAGAACTAGCTGGCAGACACCCGCAGAAAGGTGAGGTTTGCCAGCACTGGGCCTGCGAGGAGGCGGGGCGCTCCGTGGTGCCGCTCACGGTCACAGCTGGGTCTGTGCCCCGCTCCTCTCATTTACTACCAGGAGACAAGATTTTTCACTTCTCTTTCCCAGTTCTCTTACCCATTTACCTCGGGAATATTTATTTTGGTTTATTAGTGGTACAAAAGGCAAGTAAATTATGGCTGGAAAAGCGTAGAAGTGTAAGTTATAGGGTAAGTTAGTGAGGAACACGTCAGAGAAGTAGGAAACTCAACTTTCAAGTGAAACGTGTGCTCTCAAGTGGGGAGGGAAGCGCGAGTCCTGTCACGCAGCACTTGTGAAGACCAGCCCTCTCCTTTAGGACACTTAGACTGCCGGTACTCTTCTGCTGTTTAAAATAACGCCACTGAACGGTTACGCGTCTGCCTTGTGCACATCTCTGACAACTTCCTTTCCATAAATTACTTGAAGTACTCCAACCACGGCAGTCTTCCTTTTAGATGGTTATGAAAAAGGAACTCTCTCATTAAAAAAAAAAAAGAACCAAAACACTTACTTTCTTGGAAAGCAGAGTAACTCACCCAGTTCCAAGTCATTTGCAGCAGGAGTAACCGCGTAACTTCAATTAAGCTCATGTTCCCAGTGACACGCTCACCTGGTCGTGGTCTGTGGGCCCTGGGGTCGGGGGTGGTGTTACCTAGGGCCTATGCTTGTTTGAGAAATGAAATGTGGTTAACCAGAGCCCTTTCCTAATAGTACGAGACACAGTGGGAATTGAAATCAACACAGAGATAGTTCAACATTTGTAACTCACGATGGTGCTCAGAGGGGATGGGGTGGATCCCACTGCAAGACCAGGAGTTCACCTGTGCACCTGCAGAAGGACACCTGGGTTGTTCCCAATTAAGCTGCGGTGAACAATCAAAACCACATCATTGGGTGGACAAGGCTTTCATTTCTCTCGGGTAAATATGTAGGAGTGGAAAAGCTGGGTCATCAGGGAGTGCATGTTTAAGAAGAAACTGTCGGACGCTTTTCCATCCGTACCAACGTCCTTGTCAACACCTGGTATCAACGGTCTTTCCGATAGCCGTGTAATTCTCTCGTGACTCGTTTGTGTTTTCCTGAGGACTAGCAAGATGAAAAGATCCTTTCATGTCCATCACCATTCACATATCTTCCTTGGTTAAGTGTCTGTTCAAACTTTGTCCTAGTTTTTAAAAATGGTTTATTGCTTTTTGTGAATTCTAAGTGTTTTTAAAAAATATATTCTGAATGTGCTACCTCCCAGTACTGTATTTTCTCCCATGACGTGGCTTGCTATTTTATTTAATAGTATCTTTCAAAAAGTAAAATTTAAATTTAATTAATCCAACCTATCTAATGTTTGTTTCATGACTCATGCTTTTTATGTCCTGAGAAATCTCTGCATTTCCCAACATTATAACAATTTTCTCCTGTTTTCTTCTAGAAGTTTTATGGTTTAGCTTCTACAATTGGGCCTATGATCAAATTAAATTTTGTGGATGGTGTGAGATAAAAGTCAGTAGCAGTTCCGTAGATTTCGTTTGTTCACCACCCCCATAGGTAGATAGCTCTCTGATACAAAGACTTCGCCTTAAGTTCCTTTGGCACCTTCGCTGAAATTGACACAGCTGCACACGGGTGCACGGGCGGGCGTGCCTGATGCTCCCCGCTCCATCGGCTCATCTGTGTGTCTGCCTCTAGCTTCAGAGCAAGTCTCTAAACTAGGGAGAGTTAGCTCCCCGGCTGTTCTTTTACAAGTTGCTTTAACTCCTTCAATCTCCATATACATTCTAAGATGAGCTTATCATTGTTCTATAAAGGAAAACCCTGCTGGAATTTTGGCGGGTACTGGATTGAACGCACATACCAACTTGGAGAAAGCAGACACCTTGACATGATGCAGCTCTTCGTTTGCTTTATTCTTTAAATAGTTTTCAGCAATACTTTGTAGTTTCTAGCGTGCATGTTTTTGTGCAGTTTGTACCTTAAGTATTACACACATTTCTAGGTACTGTTGTGAATGGGGCTGCACCTTTAAATGTCATTCTCCAGTTGTTGCTAGAATGTGGAAATACAGCGGACCTTTGTTTAGCGACCTCTCGTGACTTTGCTAAGTTGGCGTATCAGCTCTAGTAGCAGTTCTGTAGATTTCTTCATGTGTTCTACCCACATGCTCATATCATGTGTGAAAGAAGACTATTTTACAAACTCCCTCCCGCCTGTATGCGTTTTCTTTTTCCTGTCTTAGCGCAGTGGCTACCAGCTCCTTCCGCGCCGTCCCAGCCGCAGGGGGAAAGCTTTCTGTCTGTTACGTTAAGCATAATGTCAACTTAAATCTTTTGTAAATGTCCTTTCTCAGCTTAGGGAAGTTCTTTTCTATTCCTACTTTGCTGGGAGTTGTTTTTTAAATCAACAGTGTTGAATTTCATCAAATGCTGCTTCTATTCAGGTGATTATATGTTTTTATTTCTTTTTTAGATTCTCAAATGTTAACCTTACACTTCTGCACCAAATTTCATTTGGTTTTGGTGTATTACTGATTTTATATATTGCTGGATTCAAACTGCTAATATTTGGTGAAAAGCTGGTCTGTTGTTGTAATATTTTTGTCTGGTTTCTGTGTCAGGGTAATGCTGGACTCATTCCTTCCTGTGTTTCTGAAAGACTGTAAGATTGGTGTTGCTTCTTCCCTAAAAGTTTAATAGAATTCACCAGTACACCTCCAGTTCTGGAGTTTTGTTTTGTTTTTTTGTTTTTGTGGAAAGATTTAAAATGACAAATCCAGCTATTTTCTGTCTCTTCTTGTGTCCATCTGGACAGCTGGTGAATCTCGTGGAATTTGGCCGTGCCAGCTAAGCTGTAGAATTTACTGGCATAAACCGGCTCGCAGCCTTCTTCGAAGGACCTGTAACCGTGTCCTTTCAGTCCTGGTGTCGAGAATTTTTGTTTCCTCTCCTTCAACCAGTCTGGCTAGAGGCTTATCAGTTTTGTGGGTCTTCTCTATCTGCTCGTTTTCTAGATCTTTAATTTCTACGTTTATTATTTCTTTCCATTTACTTTGGTTTAAGTTGCTCTTCTGTTTCTAGTTTTTGAAGGTGGAGGCTTACATCACTGTAAACCTTTCATCTTTTTTTTTTTTTTAAGATTTTATTTACTTATTTGACAAACACAGTGAGAGAGGGAACACAAGCAGAGGGAGCTGGAGAGGGAGAAGCAGGCTTCCCGCGGAGCAGGGAGCCCGATGGGGGGCTCGATCCCAGGACCCTGGGACCATGACCTGAGCCGAAGGCAGACG